GGTACATCAGAGGGAATGCTGAAATGGGAATCTGGTTTAGAAAGTCTGAAATTGTGGATCTGATTGGGTATACTGATAGTGATTGGGCTGGATCCTTAGATGATATGAAGAGCACCTCTGGATATGTTTTTTATCTGGGATCAAGTCCAGTTTGCTGGAACTCAATTAAGCAAAAAACGGTTGCTCAATCAACAGCAGAGGCAGAATATGTGGCTGCATCAGAAGCAACAAATCAGGCGGTCTGGCTAAGGAAAGTCTTGAAGTATTTAAATCACAATCAATCAAATCCAACTGTGATTTATTGTGACAATCAATCGGCTGTTGCTATGGTTAAAAATCCCATGTTTCATGGAAGGACAAATCATATCAAGATTAAGTATCATTCAATCAGGGAAGCACAAGAAAAACAGGAAGTGAAGCTGGTGAACTGCAAGTCTGAAGTTCAGTTTGCTGATATCTTAACTAAGAGCCTGGGAAAAGAAAGGTTTGAAACACTAAGAAAATGTCTTGGTGTTTCCAACAAAAGTGTCAAGAAGGAGTGTTGATGATTTAAAGATTTAATGTTGTCACTTTTGTTGCCATTTTGTTTTTGTAATTGTTTAAGTTCAAGTCAGCCAAGTTATTATTATAAAATTGTAATATGCTATCATGTATAGTGTAATCTGTCACAAGGTAAGGTGTAGTAGGTTGGAGGGATGGTTGACAATCTTTTGTGTAATTTATATATACATAGTTGGTAGAGCCAGCCGTATATATCAACCAAGTGGATAAAAGTTTGAATAGATTTTTCTGGTTTTTTGATCTCCATCTTGCTCTTTCTCTTTTGGTTAAAATCCATCACCCTCGTTCTCCGATCCTTCACAAGAAAAAAGTTGGGGTGATATTCCAATAAAACATTGTTTTGCTTGGTAAAATGATGCACATAGTTCAAGTTTTTATTTATGTTTGAAACACATAGATTATCTTGAACTTTAAACTTTCTATTTGGATAATTTAGAGTGAGAGAACCAGAGTGAGTAATTGGCAAACCTGATCCATCTCCAATAATAACCTCATCGGTGCCATCATATTTAGAGTGTAATTGGAGATTTGAGACCTGTGACGTGATGTTGTGAGAAGTGACTGAGTCAAGAAGCCAACGTCTGTCTAGGCTCGGAGTAGCAGTTTGTTTTTAGCATGTGTTTATGGTTGCTTTGGCCTGGGACAGTATTTGGCAATGTGTCCTTGCTCATCACAAAACTAGCACCTTGGTGGATGTTTGTATTGCTTCTATTGCCTTGTTTTTGATTTGTTGTCGTTCCTGGATTGATGAGAATATTGTGAGTTTTATTGCTTTGAGGGACGAGAGTCATGGCACTGAGTATTGTTGGATGTGAGCTCTAGAGATTGTGCTGCTGAATCAAGCCGCTTGAGATAGGCTTCATGAGCAATCAAGAGGTCATGTAGCTCCTCAAATGTTATAGATGATTCTCGAGCTCGGATTGGAGCAACAATATCACGATAGTCAGAGCTTAGTCCATGCAGGACATATAATGTGATGTCGTCTTGGGAAAGAGGAGCATCAATTAATGCAAGCTCATCAGCAATTGCTTTCACAGAATTTAAGTACTCTGTTATTGTGCGATTACGACGTTGTATGAGGGTAAGATCCTCTTTGAGTTGCATGATTCTAGTTCTTGATCGACTAGCGTATAGCTTGGTGAGTTTGTTCCAATCTTGGGAAGATATCTTTGATGTTGCTATAAGTGGTATCACGGCTGGAGAGACAAAGGTTAGGATAGCACTTAAAATGAGTTTATCCTGTCGAAACCATAGTTGATAGGCTGCAGTGGCTGCTGCATTTGGTTCGGTTGGTTTAGGTAGGCATGGATTAGTTCCATCAACATAATTGTAGAGGTTGTAGCTGAGGAGTAAAGACTCAAATTGAGCATGCCATGAAGGAAAATTGGTTGGTATGAGCTTTGCGATTATTTTGTTGAGTGGCGTTGATAGCTATAGGAGTGAGTCCAGAGGTGGAATTGGCCATGGTGATTTGCTAGAAAACGTGAGGAAAAGGATAGAACTCGGTAGAGATTTGGTGGCTTATAGACTGATACCATATAGAAAAGATATGCAAGGTTTGAAGAATATTTCACACACTTTCATTAGTCGATTGGATTACATATATATACAGATTGAATGAATAACAATTGTTCCTAAAATTAAGCTATCAGCTACAAGTAACGTTCCTATTTGTGAGCTGTACAAATCAGCAATTAATGAGAAAGTTAAACTTATATAACAGCTTGATTGTGTAATGAAATAGCGTCAATCTTGATGCAGATTTTGTGGATTAGATTGATACAGATTTTGGTGATTTGTAACTACCTCTATATTCTAGTGGTCTGAGTTATGGACAGATATTGATGTTGGGGCGGAGGAGATCAATGGAGGATGCAATTACGGTGGCGCCACCATGGATGATGGGGGTAGACTATGCTTTTTTCACCGTTTACGACTGGCACGGAGGGTCTAAGGTGGCAGAAGAATGCAGTAAGAGGTTGCATAAGTATCTTGAGAAGCATATAGAAAAGGAAAAGAAATTGCCGGAGAAAGTAGAATTTGACTGGAAAAAAGTGATGGGTGATTGTTTTAAAAGTATGGATAAAGAGGGAGAAGTTGGAGTGGAAGGCGATGGCGAGATAGCAGCAGCAAAGTGGAGGAAGGATGGGTTGACGGCCTTGGTGGTTTTTTAGGTAAGGAGGAGCTGGTGATAGCGAATTGCAATGACTCAAAGGCGGTTCTCTCCTGAAGCGGTGTTTCGGTGCTGCTGTCATAAACATGACGTTTCACTAGTTTCCTAATTTGGAATGGGACAAGGAAAATATTTTCTTTGTAATTTGGTCCTTTTTATTAAGGTGATGTACGTGGTACACATATGTTAAGTGCCCGTGACAATTTATATTGATAAAATTTCTAAAATTGTATGAGCATTGGTGTCTTTTTCTTTTCTTTTTTTCTTTTTCTTTTTCTTTTATTATTATTGTATATAAAAGAATACTACTCATATACTTCGATCAAAAAAGGTCAATCAAGGCTTACAATTGTTGATTAATAATTTATGTTTTTTTTTTGTTTTTTTGGTTATTTTAAATAGCCTGATAGACAAGATGAGAGGGAGAGGATAGAAGCTTTGGGAGGAAGAGTCCTAAACTGGAACGGTTGGCGAGTAAGGAATTCTTGCCACTTCAAGATCTATAGGTAAGTAGTAGTGTATGTCGAGAATATTTATTATATATTTTAACATTTGAGCTTATAAAAATATAATTCTTTAAAACTATAGGTATATAGTGGGTTGGGACATTCTGCCTCGCCTAGTAGTTAAGCCCAGAAATTAATTAGTAATAGTTGTAGGCTGGCCTGGACAAGACCAAATTGGACTATTCTAGCTATCCAATTCCATCCAGGGATTTTTTAAAATTTATTTATAGCCATGCAGTTGATTAATGTTGATCATTTACGATATTTACATTCTCAGTTTCTTGTTTGAACATAAAAATGAATGAAATTTGTTTTATTGTTCTCAAGATTTGATGATCAAGTTAATTGATTTCAGGCGATCAGTATATAAGACCTTTAGTAATATCCGAGCCGGAGGTTAAGGTCCAAAGACGAACGGAGTTTGATGACTTTGTTATAATAGCAACGGGGGATGTGGTGTCAAATGAGGTTGCATGTAAAGTTGTGAGACAAAGTCTTGACAGGAACAAGAGCCAAAGTGGTGCTACAGAGGCAACAGCAACACTAGCGGAGCTTGCCATTGCTAAGGAAAGCAGAGACAACATCAGTATTGATACCGACATTTTCTACATATCCTGAGCATTACTAACCCAACCACTTCGATGGACATTTTTTCTTGGTTTTTGCTCATGTAAGCTCGGGATGCACGGTGTGCTTGGGGTATATCCGTATGCCCAAGCTCTCTTGTTCAACCACCGGTCACGAAACACATGGATGTCCTCGGGAATATACCTCGGGTAAATCCCTTAAACGTCTCAATTACCATCTTGCTCGCGCTGAGAGGAAGACCTATCCTCTAAGAACTCTAATCTGACACAAACACTTCAACCTACATTTCCTAAACCCAAGGGAACCCTCTTGCAGATTCTGATTGGTCTTTACAGTGTAGTAGGATTCAAACACTGCTTTCTTATAAGATTCTATTGGATAAGAATACCCAGTTAGTTGAATCCTACTAGGAGAGCAGCACCTACCCCTATAAATACAGAACCTTGGATCATTATTCAGGTATGTTCTCTTTATTTTCCAATTTGTAGCCTCACGCATATATTACCTTTCTAACCCAAGTATCGGAGCGGTGATGAGAATACACCTCGTTGCCTTTATTTGAAGTACTTGACTACTGCAATCGTGCTCATTCACAATCCTCAAATTCAGAAAATCAACAAGTACGATTTTTGGTAGCATCAAGTATCATAGTTGTTATATAGATCGTTGTTCATGATTTTTTCCTTTTTGTATTGCATGGCGAGGTTGCATAAGAAATAAAAAGCGTTTCGAATAATGTAGTGCACTATTCATATGTTCATATGTCTGGTTAAAAAAAATTACAGATTTGGAGTCGTCTCTTCATTGTTGTGTAGACCATAAGTCCATGATATGATATCTCCAAGGTAATATCTTATACTGGCAACTAATTTGATAAAATTCGTCTAAAATTTGTTGTACCTAACGACCACTTGCACACTTGATTCAAACAGAGTGGTTAGTAAAATTCATAATAACAGTAACTGCCTGCCATCCATGCCTTCCAGTCCATAAAACATTATGAACATTGGATAGCACTGCAGAAATTGTATTCATATTGCAAACAATGTTGTAGAGGTTGCCATAACCAAACACACAAAAAAAGGACAGTACAGAAGTGACCTTAAGGTACAAGTAAGTGAATCTTTACTTCTCAGTATCAATCTTCATTCTCAAGCTCTCTCTACCAGACTAGTGAAGTGGAAAAGGAGGATGAGCACCTCTTTTAAATTGTCTCTTCACTCCTTTCTTCCTCCAATCTTCAACCTTATTTAGCCTAACTCCATCTAAATCCCTATTCAGATAACAAATCATTCCATAATCGAAATTCACGGTAAATAAAAAGATAAAAGACCTACTTGACCGTGTCTTGTATTGATGCACAATTCTTTCACTAAAAACCCCATAAAGACCACACACATTTCTCTTCATAAATAGCTTTCTTTTCATCTTAGACAAGGGAGTAGCTTGATACTGAGACATCTGCTGGGTAAGCCGAGTGGATATACACAAATTCGATGCTTTTTCCAGCCGGCAAAGAGTTTATCCATGCTGGAAAGAAGTAAAAATTACCAGCCTTCATAAGACCCCATAGAGGACCATAAAGCTTTGTAATAGAGAGCTTCAAGTCCTTCAGGGTTTTTGTAGACTTATTGATCACTTTTGTTGAGTATCTGTAGTAAGTTTTTCCTTGAAAAACCCATGAAGTTGTCACCTTCTGCTCAAGGGCAATTGAATTGGCTGCAAAACAAGCTTCGTTCATTAGATATGTCATCCTGAAACGAGATTTTTTTACGAGAGAAATTGGAAAGTTCCCCTCATTAAGGGCTAGAGTGGTAATCTCTTCTTTACAAGTATGAAATACCAAATTTCCTCAACATTAGGCTCCACATAGTCCAATATCCAATAACACTTCTTTCCTTTCAATTAATGGAATTGAAAAAAAAACCAACTTAAAGAAGAAACAGGGCAGTACCTATAGCTGGATTTGCAACTGGTTTGGGTGCTAGCTTAAGTGAAGGAAGTTCCACTGGATAAATAAAATGCAAATTAAGTTATCAAGAAAACGAAAAGATGTTGGAAAAACAAAGTTAAGTTATGAAGTCATTGAACTTTAAATACCAGGAAGGAGCTGATTGTATCCACTGTGGCCACCATGTAGTCTTGCCAATATACCAAGGAAGGGAGCATTGTTATAAGTAGCAGGCTCAGTTTGTTCATAGTTGTCTCTTTGGTCAGCAAAATTGTCATAGGCATCCGATCCACCAACAAGTGCACCGGTAAGGAGATTTGGATCACTTGACTTCCGGCTAAACCAAGTGGAGTACCCTCCTCGGCAACTAACAAAAGAAGGGTTTACCTTATACGAGACGATTGAAGATGCTCTGTGGTGAACTTGTTTCGGGTAATTGTTTCCATATCCCACCATGTAACTTGTGGATCTAGGGTTGTCTCCAAGAATGTAGTCCACCTGATAGCATAGAGAAATTGAAGTATGTTCGAGTAAATTCCATATAACTGGACTCTACAATCTACATAGTCTAACACAGCATTTGAGAGGAAAGATTAACATCTTATACTTTACCTGAGATTTTGCAAATGAGAGTAGCTCAGACGGGCTGACATAACCAGAAGCACACTTCAGGGATTTTCTGGCAGAGGACAGATAATCGGAGTAGACAGTGAGAAGGAATGAAGCACTTGTCACAAACTGCATATTATTCCATCTCTGCCGGAAAATGAGGCCCCCGGGAGTCCTCTGAGCATTACGCGTGCCCTTCCCAAGGCATGAACACATGAAAAATTCAGCCTTTTCCTGGTATTTCTCAAAGACTGGTGCATAACCGCCACCTTTGCCTGCCATCAAGAACTGCAAGACCATAATATGTCACTAACTCTGTAAATCCATGTCAAAAATCAATGGTACTTTTGCTCAAAACCGATAAATAGACAATGCACTTATAATCGAGGAAATTAAAAAGAGTCACGACAAGTTACCTTAGCAACCAGGGTCTGGACACCAGCATACTTGACATCCCAACCAAATTCAGTCATGGCCCAGCCCGTTCCACCAAGTGCATCCCCATTCTTCCCTAAGTAGTTCAAGTAGTACTGATTATTCGTGGCCTTGTACATCCATGCAGCTGCCCACAACAACTCATCCTGGTAAACCATTATTCACAAATACAAAATTAGTGAAGAAATAAGATAGAAAATTACAATTTCCACTATCATATATATATTCGGTCGTGCTTAAAAGTGCCATTTTTAATCACTTCTAAATACGATCAAGTGACTTACAGCATATCCACTGACAGATCGGTAATACTTCTGTGCCAATGTGATGCTGCCATCATATTTGCCCCTGTATTTGTCTGCAAAATCAAATAGCTGAAACAAAAAAAAAAAAAAAAGAAATTTTTTGTTAGGAGAAGCATGTCAAATAAGGCATAAAATCCAAATACAAGGGTTTTAAAGAATATTATAAATGAACTTGCTATTTGTGATGCAGTGCATACAACTAAACAAACAAAATGATCTTTGAGACTCTATAGTAATACAGTACAGGCTTATCTTGTTTACCAGGCCAATTACCTTTTACTTGTTAATTCAAGGCGATGTAAAACATTTAACATGGAATGTTTGATAGAGTGAAAAGGAGATACCAGATAAAATCGAGAAAGAGAGACGTCTTGAAATATTTGTTCGTTACTATGCTCTAGTATCTCTGTTTATTCTTTTAATAATTGGTTTCAAGTGAATGTAAAGTAAGAGTTGATGGTAGGTTAAGATGCGGTATAAAACTGTCATTTATTAGGTGCTAAAAATAAGTGAATTTACGAGAAATAATTCAAATTATTAGAACTAAATCTTTAATTGCTCTAGTTTTAGTTTAGAACTTTGCTATTTGTACACTGATTTTTGACACTTTGATTGACACTTGCATTGTTGTCAAGTGTCAATTGGATGGAAAAACTGTTTGAAATTTAAACTGTTCAATAGGGTAATGTTACGTGACAAAATATAAACTATAGTATAGATCATAGTATACATGTAGCAAAATTCTTTAGTTTATTATGTTCTAGTGGGACTGTGAAATATGCCTCGAAAATCTGAGTAATGTTATTTAGCATCATTGGTCCAATTTAGATGGCACTAACGTGACATTAAAGAATATGTACAATTAAATGATTTACATTGAGCCTATCATATAGCTGTGCCTAAACTCTAGTTATATAATAAGATTATTCTAAAAAGCTTGCTAAAATGCACCTATAGGGCTTCCTTTTTATTTTTGGTCATAAATGAGGTAACCCACTGGGCCACTGCTATATTGCAGCACCAACGACCAGCCTGACAAAAAAGTAACTACGACCATTTCGTTAACGTAAAATTCTCAACTGCCTGCCAACCTTAGTCCAAATGAGTCAATGACCACTGGCCATTCACACTGGTAAGTTAAAAAATTGTTCAAGAAACTATACTACTAACCTGATAGGCATGTTTTAGGAGCTCAGCCGAATAGGCAGGGTTGTAACGGTGAAAGACGATGGAGGCAGCCGCCATTGCCCCGGCGGTCTCACCAGCAAGGTCGGAACCCGGGTGGCTGGGGTCGATCTTGTAAGCTGCCCTTGATGTGGTCATGTCCTCTGGCCTTTGCCAGCAATAGTGGTCCGTGTCTCCATCTCCGACCTACACACAAAAGTAAGGTGAATATCAATGAATCCGATTACTACTATCAATATGGGGCTGGGTTGGGGTTACCTCGCCATAGAGGACATAAGGTTGAGGGTGGGCTTTGATGAGATAATCAGTGCCCCACTTAATAGCATCAAGGACATTTCCAAGTTCTCCACTAGAACCCATTTGGGTTCCATACTCAATTATGCTCCAAGACATCATGGTAATGGTGAATGCCATTGGCAACCCAAATTTCACATTGTCCCCTGCATCGTAGTATCCTCCCACCAGATCCACCTGCACATTTTGAACCATATTAACGAAACTATTATTTTTTATTAAGTTGAGCGGAGGCAGAGAAACATACCCCGCTGATTTTTCCATCATTGAGGCCAGAATTGCCCCTCCACTGGACTCTTTGATTTTTGGGCAAGTAACCAGATCTCTGAGCTTCAAAGAAGAGAATGCTCTTGCTTAGAGCTGCACCATAGTCATGACCACCAGCTAATGTCAAAGGCAGAATCCCAAGCACCAAAAACAGGGGAGCCATTTTAATACAGAATCCCACAGTTTTATCACTTAAAATTAAGCAGAAAATGTCAATGTAGTTTTGGTTTACTGGCTAAAACTTCAAGAATGAATCCCAATGGAGAATGATATAGAGAAAGTGAGTGAGTGGGGATTGGACGAACAAGAAGGGCTAAAGCAAGTATATATGGAGGGGGGAAGAAAGATGGGCAGAAATTAATAAATGCAGTTTTGAAAATGGGGGAGTAGCATGTGCATTGGAGTTTTTATTTATAAGAAGCAGCCTCCAATTTTTGTTTGATATGCAATGGCTATTCGGCCGGAAACTTACTGCTGCAGAATAATCATAGGAGATTAGTGTAATTAATCAAGGTTTGATTATTTCAATTATGACTGGGACGGATTTCGTGATTGACAGATGGTCATAAGTTTGGGAGTTACCCAAAGGATAATTCTGTTTGTAGAGAATTATCTTCACAGATGAAAAACAGAAGTCTCACATCAGGTCGGCCCCGTTGTTGAATCTCATGTGTTGGAAAATGATAAAAAAATTCCAACCCCACCCATGTGTGAATATTCTGTAAGAGATCTGTCAAATGGAGTTCTGTACACCCAGTTCAATCCAAGAATAAATTAATTAGAATAACAGGGAATGTGGTTTGACATTGACCTATTCACAACTAGTCAAATATAGGCAACCAGTTCAAATAATTAAAATTCACATATTTAACAATGATAAGTATTATTCAATTTGTGAGTTATTTTTTGGTTCAAAAAATTGATTTTTTGATCGTTATTTTACTATTTCAGCCATCATATTTAACTTCTTCTCTCACAAGTGGACACCACTTTTCTTCTAACAGTCAAAATATCAATTCTCAAAATTACTCCCAAACATGCTCTAAATAGCAATACTCGTCCTTTTAACATTTTTAATACAAACCCTTATTTCCTCAACGTTTTCCTTCTCCCGGAAGATGGCAAAACTTTGATTTAACATTCATATGACTGATACAATATAGAGACCAAAATCTACATCGAAAGACTCACAATGATAGATTTTCACATTTTTCGCTCTCCCTCCCTGAATTCACAATGCTACTCACATTTTGGTGGTTTAAGCTTCTTGGACAGGGGATTGGGACAGGGAATTGGGACAGGGGGCATGTGGCGCCCCCCTATTGGAGGGGTAGTTGACCAAACACTGTCCCAATCCCCTGTCCCCCTAGCATATCTCCATTTTGGTGGGTTATATCTTCTTTCTCTGAAGAAAAAGCAAAACAAATTGAGTGCGCACTTGATAAAAAGTGTAGGCAGTTAGAAAATAAAGATTTAAGAAACACACGAGCATAAAAATGGGAGAGGAAAACCAAAAGAGTGCCACGAAAAGGGAAGTCAAATAATTTAATCTCACCGCAATTGACGGTCACGAATTTTCTATTTTGTATTAAATTATTAACATATTCCTCTCTTGTCGGACAAAGTGTGAAACCAGGAAAAATCGACACATATACATTATCCGTATTTGGTGGGGATTAAAATCAAATTTTTAGTACATTTTTTATGAAAGTTGATAAAATGTGTGGTTAAACTAAAATTAGTGGTTAACTTTAATTTAGATTAAAATCTAAATTTAATTTTTATCAGACGGGGGCATAATATAAGTCAAAAAAGATTGTCGTCCGTTTTTATCGACCAGTGCCAGTATTGTTACGATCACGGTAGAAGTTCCTCTTACTAAATGTCGACTCGGGTACCCTCGACCCGGTTGCTGACCTGTGGCCCTCCTTGTTGTTAGGTCACACAAAGTGAGACTTGGTTGGCGGGGAGTCCTTGTTAGAGCATCTCCGAGGTGTAAAATGAAGATTTGGATATTCAAAGTGTTCATGAACCTTTTCAATGGAAAGATGAAAATTACATTTTTTTTTTTTTTACAAAGAAAAAGATGTAAATTTACATCTTTTTTACATCCACAAGAGACAAAAAGTGAAGTTTAACAACAATTATTTAAAAGTTTTTTTTTACACAGTCATTTTCAATCACACGTTCACACAATAAAATATTCTATGCGTAAATTCAAAATTTTTCCAAACTTTTTAATCACATATTCTCATAAAAATCACTATTCAAAACATTATTTTTTTCTAAATAATGATTGTCAAACATAAGCTTAATGTGCATCTTCTTAACTATTGGACAACAGGAATGTATGTAACGATTACAGTGTATTCTTATATAATTATGAGTTTAATGAGAATGATTTTATATTTCTGCATTTTTCTTGAACTTGTAAATTTGCAAGAAAAATATTTGGCAATTTACATCGTCAGTAAACATTTTTTAGATTTTAAGATGTTCAAATTTCATTTTCAATATATATTTTAATGGACTTACAATTGCTATCATATTTTAACTACACGTTTCATGTGATCGGTTAGCTTAAGATCTCCAAAAATTTTATCAAATAGACTTTCAACTACTGTAATACCCTTCTTTCTTTTGACTTATCAAATCAAGTCGATAGTCTTACTAACGGAATCACTTTAAATTTAAAAGAAAAAAAAATCATGTCTCAACCAGTACAACATACGTTCGATCGAGATCAGGATACCTAGCCCAGCTGTCATGAGCTAGCAAAGTATCTTGCATCCACATGAACCTATACAAGTATAACTCAAATAATAATGCAACGCCTACCAGCTAGTTTTAAATGTGTACAGCCATTTCCAAACAAAGTTATCACATGAAATCTACTATCGCAATCAGCGTGCCATTGGAAATCGAATTTACGTATTTGATTGCCCCTACTTCACGTGCTCATGAATTATTGATTTTTCAATGATTTTATATTAAAGTTAAAAATGATTAATAGTACGAGATTATCAAGTGATTTTACAGCAACTTATCAATTTTGTATCCTGAAAATAAAATATATTGAATTATAGTCTATTGTTATATGGTCTAATGAACAATTTGGTAACTAAGAAATCAATTTCAATACGTTTTTATGACGTAAGAAGGAGATAAATGAGATATGATCATGCTATTTATACATGTCATTTTACACTTTGAATTACCTGACTCCACCTCCTCCTCTCACATGGGGGTCGAGCCCCCATGTCGTGGCCCGCACATGGGACTCAACCCCATGTGAGAGGAGGAGTGGGGTCGGATAAATCAAAGTGTTAGCTAACAAGTACAAATAGATTAATTCATATGAGATATTCTCTTATACATTTGATAATTAGTACTAGAAAATGGATTGGTCGATACAATACTAGTTAGATTGTTTAGTGGCACGTATTTTGTATATTAATCACGAATGTAAATTTCACTCTCACATTTCTGCCAAATTAAACAAGCAAAGGGATAGATGGGAACTCTCCACGTTCTTTGAAGCCACAATTTCGGATATGAGTCAAAATAAATTTTCCTTTCTTTACATTGTATTCTACTATAAATTAATCAATTTTTTTCCCCTCAAAACTGATATTTAAAAAAAAATATAATTAAATTAAAAAATTGAAGAGATTCCCCTACCACCTCGTAATGATTCCTTCGGCTTTGGCACGCACTACATCCTTTACTCTTGTTTTAACTAAATGTCTTTTCATGACCAATTCTTAATTCGACTTTAAAAAATAAAAAGAAAAACTAAATAACTGTCGTCTTCTTAAGCTCAACCAATTAGCATCTTACCCATGGCACCATCTCTGGAATATTGCCTCTATTTCAATTAATCCTATCTTTTAACATCAAGATTTTGTAAGGACCACGCTACACGACTTTTGCGCAGATGAGCGCACACACACATACACATGGGGTTGACATTTTTTTATTCGGGTGGAACCCGTGCATCATGTGAGGATGCGGTCATCGGTGCGGTGAACGGCGCGGATCGTTTAGCAAAATTCTTGTAAGAAAATGGTACCTAAGTCAGCAAGTCAAATGTTGACTTGACTATGTGTAAAACAATTAAAATCACTGTGATTCATTGAACAAAAAGCAAAATCCTTCTAAATATTATATACCTAAATTCCAATAATCATGCATAAATAAATACGGAAAATAAACGAAGCATTTTTGCATGTTGCAAGAGCAAGGGGCTTAGCCTGCACTAATTAGCGGAAATTGGTAAATTGGGTCCCAGTTGCTGTGAGCCAATCACGGTTGCAAAGCATGTGGAGCGCCGGCCTATATGGAGGAATTGACATTCTTACTATTTCAAGCTAATTTGGAGTTGTGATTCAATTTTATTTCAAATCTTTTATGAACTTACCTTTCATTTGTCACTCTTTCTCTAGTTACTTGTATGATTGAAAGAATAAAATGAGTTTCTTACTTAAGGAGTCACCATCACTTTAGGCATTCGAATAAAATGAAGGACTAAATCCTCCAATAACACCTTATTAAAAAAGAAAATATATATTATCGTTTTCATAACATATTATGGCCCCGTTTGGGAGGAATTTTAAGAATTGATTTTTTGACCGTTAAGAGAAAAGTGTGGTCTAATTGTGAGAGAAGGAATCAAAAATTACGGTTGAAAAAGTAAAATAATGATCAAAAAATTGATTTTAATTGGATTTTAAATTGTACCAAACATGCTCTATATGATTAATAAGCTTCGGACGGTCGTAAAATGTTTTCACTAAAAAGAAAAATCTTCGAACTGATCAAAATGGTAGTTGGAACATACTGATCTCATTCACTTGTCCGCATAACCATTTTTAAGTTCAAGTGACACTATATAATCTTAGGTTATCTCAATTTTTTACTCATGGATGGAACAATTACTCTGCCCAAAATGATTTTCAATAACATTATATGTTTTGGATGTACGACTTCTTACTTTTTCTTTTTCCTTTATAAAGTAGACGAGGCGGATCTTTAATATTGATTTCGGGTCGAGATCAGATGTCTATTTTACTGTCCATCCAATTAATTTTTAATATGTCATTAATAATTAACAAGTTATCTCAAATTTACTCTCAATAATTTCACCACATCAGATTTCAACTCATTCGTTTTATGTGCAGATTAAATTTTTAATGTATTATGTAAAGAACGTAAAATATTTATTATTTGATCTCAAAAGCTTGAATATCAAGAATTATTGAATTTGTATAAGTCCCAACAAGTTTTGTTGAAAATTAAATTCAAGTAAATATATTATCTTTTTTACACATTGAGGATTAAATATAAATTATTAATAATGTTCTATTTGTTACTTTAAAAT